GAAAGTAAAACTAGTTACAAGTAAACCATCACCTATACCCTATCACTTTCTTCCCTCAACAAAGACACCAAAGTTGAGAAGAACTCAGGATTATTCACATCTTTAAAAACAAAACTATCAACTATGGCAAGCTTAGAACAACAATCAGCCGGCCGATTCTTATTCCTATTAACATGCTGAAAAAGAACCTGTTTGAAATTCATCAAAAAGTGAGATCCGGCCCGTCCACCATGCGAAGGATTTTTTTCTAACGATCCCTCAAGTGTTGCATCCATAGAATAGTAGCAATACAGTCAGCTTCAATAATAATCCCGTCAAGCTCCATCATCCAGTCCTCCAAAATGTTCCGGATAGCCTCAACAGCCAAAATTTCTGCATGAAGCGCATCCCAATGTTCAATTCTTTGTCCAGCAGCAACAATAAGGGAGCCTTCATAGTTACGAGCAACAATGCCAAGTCCAGCCTGATAATTCAGCTTAACAGACGCATCAATGTTGAACTTAATCCAACCTGGAGGGGGGGGGGGCACCATAGTTTATGAGAGGGCAGTCCCGAAGGCTGAATAATGCTCCATTGCTCCAGAATTGGTGTTCTACACGGTCTTGGAAAAAGCGATAACGCTGTGGCAGCAATTACGCTGGGAGATTGATACGACCTTCCATGCCGCAAATCATTATGAGCACGCCAAAGCTGATAAACCACATAATAGTAGATGCATCCAATGCCCGTGTTCTTATTTACACAGTCACCGAGCTCCCTGAGAAGCTCCTCCAGGAAGTTGACACACGGAATGCCAAATCCCCACTTACCCAGAATGGAAATCACCTGTCTCAACTTATTACATTGGGTAATACAGTGATCCAATGTCTCCTCCTCATTACAGCCCCAAGGACATAACATGGACTCAGATAATCCCCTGTGGAACATCCAGGAATTATTCGAGATAGCTTTCTTAAGGACCCTCCACCAGAAAAAAATTTCACGAGGGTGGAGCTTCAACTTATCAAACCAGACAAATGGATATCCTCCAATGTCAATAGAGGCCCTGTATGCCATAGCAGTTACAGTCAAACTAGAGCGGGAATAGCATAATTCAGGACTATCCACACCATTACCATTGTTAGTCGTTATAGCCTTAATCCTCTGACCCAGGATCTTCCCAAAACAGTCTTCCATCGCCTTCATATCCCACTGCAATGAGCTATCCAACAACGAGCTAACATTAACATTATCCACCATCTCCATATTAACGAAGGTCGGCCAGTTGGCAATCTTCCGATCCAAAATCCACATATCATTGAGGACATTAATAGACTGCCCATCACCAATCTTCCACCTGATGATTGGATGAAGAGCTTTTGCACCATCCTGGATAATCTTCCAGGTAATAGAAACATTACTCTCAGTAACACTGCACCAAACATCACTACCATACTTGGCAATAAGTACCTTATTCAATAGGGATTCCGAATTCTGAATCATATCCCAAGCCAGACGTGCTCGAAGAGCACTCTGCCATTTCTCTAAACAATAGAACCCCAATCCTCCCTGATTTCTGGACTGGCATAACTCCTTCCATGCTACATAATGCATCCCTCTACTATTAGAGTCCTTTTGCCACATAAACTTCCTGGCAATCTTTTCAATAGAGTGAAGAATACTCTTAGGAACCATAATGTGTGTACTCAGATACATCGGCACAGTTAAAAGGGATGTTTTGATCAGCAAAGCTCTGGCAGCAAATGATAAATGCTTCTTCCCCCACAAATTGGTCTTATCATGAACATTCTTAATTAATTTACCAAAATCAGCAGCTTTGGGTTTATAAATCGTCAATGGAAACTTAAGGTACTCAAGGGAGGTCACCTTTCTAAAGCCAACCACTTTGGCAACCATATTCTTCCTCCATACAGGACATTTCCTATTGAACAAGATGGCAGACTTGCCTCCATTAATCTTCTGACCCGTCCATCCACAATATGATTCAAGCAATCTCAAGATAAGGATTGTATTATTTCTGGTAGCTTCAGCAAACACCAGAATATCATCAGCGTATAATAAATGGGATATCCTTTCCGACTGTCCAGTAACCTGTATGCCAAGCTGCCCTCCCCTCTGCTTAAAAGCTTTAGTTAACAGCTCATAATAAAGAATGAATAAGGGGACAAGGGACATCCTTGTCTTAACCCGCTTCTTGCACAGATCCATTGGGTCCTTCTCCCATTAATCAGGAGAGTAAATTTTGGCTTGGTGATGCACTGAATCACCCAACAGACAAACCTGTGCTTGAATCCCATCAATTCCATAACTTTCTCCAAAGTTTCCCACATCATACAATCGTACGCTTGCTCCATATCAACTTTCAATGCCATCAATCCAGATTTCTGAGTCAAGCATTTAAATTTACACATAATCTCCTGTGCAAGCAATCCATGACTGGATATGGATCTCCCCGGGATGAACGCCCCATGTTCTTCACTAATAATACTGCTGAGCACCGGTTTCAACCGGTTGATCATCACTTTGGCCACAATCTTATAAAAAGATTGACAAAGGCTGATTGGTCTAAAGTTGGAAGAAGAATTGGCATTATCAATCTTCGGGATCAGCACCACAAGAGTTTCCTTCCAGCTATCACACATAGAGTTATTAGTAAAAAAATAAAGAATAGAACGCACCACATCACCTTTGATGATCTCCCAGTAGAACTTCAAGAAGGAAAAATTGATGCCATCAATGCCCGGGGATCTATTAGTACCCAGACTAAAGACAGCATGCTTAACCTCCTGTTTTGTGACCTCCGCTTCCAGCGCAGCATTCATATGTTCAGGGATCCTATCTTCCTGTGAGAATTCAGGCCAATTCATTACAGATATCTGCCGCTCTTTCCATTTTGACACAAAGAAATGCCAAAATTCTTCCTGAATGAGATTCGGGTCATTAACACATTCACCATTCTGTTTTTGAATTTCCAAGATTCTATTACCTCGTCTACGAGCCGAAGCATTGGAGTGAAAAAAATGGGAGTTGGCATCCCCTTCCTCAATCCACTTTGTTTTAGCTCTTTGTCTCCACCACGTCGCCAGCCTTGCCAACGTGGAATTAGGCTCCCCAGCCTTTCTTCGCAGCTCATCATCTTGTTCCTCATTCAGTCCATCCGCCGAGCATTCAATCATTTGATGTTCCTCAATGCGATTTTCCAACGCAACCTTCATCTCACCCAATTCTTTAAGATGATTCTGGCTCCAGAAAAATAGGGCCTTAAGCGTCCTAGAGCGTTTACGATTTAAGATCCATCAGGCTGTCCAACATCCTGTTTATGCCACTTACTCCACACTATCTTCCATGTAGCTGGATAAGTCATCCAGATGTCTTCAAACCACGGCCATCTGCTACCATGTTTCAACTCTTTGGGAGTCAACATCAAAGGACAGTGGTCCGAGGCTATACGAATGAGGTGCTTAACAGTAGCCAATGGGGCCAACCTTAGCCCAACAGAATTCATAAGAACTCTATCTAATCACACCCAAATCTTGATGTTGCCACTCTTGTTATTCGACCAAGTATATCTCTGTCCCATAAATCCCAGATCATGCAGATCATTAATGACCATAAAATCAGCCATCTCCTGTGCACTAATAGTGTAGCTGTATTTCCTACCCCCTTTCTTCTCCCCCTGATTCAGACAACAGTTAAAGTCTCCCCCCACTATAATTGGGAGGTCAGAGCTAACCAGAGGGCCAATCTGATTCAACAACAGTCTTCTAGTATGATACTCTTTACTAGCATAAACGATAACAATTCCCCATTTCTGTAAGTTGGGTAAAACCATATTACCAACAAGCGCCAGCTCCATTGTCATAACCACTTCAAACTGTACAGTATCCCTTCTCTACAAAGCCAATATTCCTCCCGATTTACCCGCAGCAGGAACATGAAAAAAATCCAAGTTACAACCATTGAGTTTATTAATCTCCAATCGGCTGAAATCTTGCACCATGGTTTCAATCAAACCAACAAAATTCACCTCATTATTGCTAATGAGGCTACTCAAGTAGTGCCCAGTTTGCTTCTTACGGGCACCCCTGCAATTCCATAAAAGGATAGACGACATTAATAAACTAAAGGGGAAGCGTCCCCGCCGCCTTGATCCTCCCCCAAATCATAGCTTGTAGCTTCCACCATCTCCTTTTTCCTTTTTCTGGGAGCCTCCAAAATAGGTCCCAATTGATTAAGCTCCTTCAGAGCATTGGCTCTGTTAGCCATTCTTATACCAGTCGTGAACGGCAACCTCTGCTTAAACCCCATCCCGCTTTGCTTATGAGTGGGCTTCAACTTACTATCTGGCACTTGAACCTTGTTCAAGTCTACTTGCTTTTGAATGTTGAAGTTCTGTTTGCTGCCCATATTCTCCTTATTCCTACCTTGTGTTCGTGTAGTTCTTCTTCTTCGTGGGGGAACTTGAATCCAAGGACCCATATGATCCTCACTATCCTGCGATCCTTCCTCTGTGATAACGTTGCCCCCATTACATTCATCATGTGCATCAGCATTCCCCCCTTTGTCTCGACTGTCAACAGATTTTCCTTTGCTACCATCCTCTATTTTAACAACAGGTAACACCATCTTCTTAGGTTGTATGGGATCCAATTTACCATTCCTACCCAAATTCTGGGCAGAGCTACATTCTCCCTTGCCACCCTGCTTCAATTGTTCTTCTGCTCTTCTGACCTCATTCCCCCCTTGTCCAACAGCTTTAGATGGACAGGACTCCTTCTGATGCCCCACTTTTCCGCATCCATTGCACAACAGCCCAATGCCTT